CCCCAAAACCCCAAAACCCCAAAACCCCAAGCTGTTGTGCCAGAGTTGAATTATTGAGATACTCTTCTTTCCCTCAAGAAATCTATGATTGGTTTACCAATTTCTTCATAAGCATTGTCAGCCCACACATAATCAAGGTGATCATATTTTGGGACAATCTTATAGTCCAGAGTTTTGCCTATCTTAAAGTCGAAAATGTCTAAGAGTCTTTCAAAATCTTCTTGAGTAACTAAAGCATCAATTTCTCCTCTGAATAACAGCATATCCAAGTCCTTTACATTTTCTTTAAGAACTTCGAAGTCATATAAAGGAGGATCTTCTTGACCATAGATTTCAATATTTTCTTCTTTTCCATAATCATATCTTCTGAACTCTTTGGAATTCATAATCTGCATCCAATGAAGCATGTTCTGAAGGCTTGATCCTCCTGGCTCGTGCCTTCCCATGACTGGCATTCTACTGAGGTCAACTGAGATTTCTTCTTTCATTCCCACAATCATCTGAATAAATCTTAGTATAGACTTCCTAAGAGGCCTCACAATTGATTTCAAAGTGACGTTTACAATAGTCGGCCAAAGAAGTACATTGTTAATTCCAAGCCACTCTAACAAGTTTATCAAACTTGTATTTTTGAGAAGTGCAAAAATAGGAGATCTTATGTTGTCAACATAAATAACAGGGCCAAGCCCAATGAAGGAGTCAATCTTAGCAGCAATGTTCTTCATTGCATTTCCTGCAAAGAACTGCATTGTTCCTTGCGAATGGCCAATGTAAGTCAGCTTCTCATTGCTGGTGTAGTCAAGGATGTAATCAACATTCGAAGGAACATCATAATAAGCCATGCTATCAAAACTGAAGCTCCAATACTTGCTCTGCATATCAAATACAGAGTATTCTTGAGGGTTAACGTGCTCATACGAATTAAAGTTACCTCTGTTATTAGTGATCCATACATCATAACCCTCCTCGCTCAAGATAAGGGGAAGACTTTGGTTCTTGAAACCGACTATGAAAGTCCCACTGTTGTCTAATCATCCGTGTTGAAGCATAACTGCAGGTTTTCCTCTAAACTCTTTAGCTGACTCTGTGATCTTCCCTGGAATCCTCCAAGCAGTCAAAATGTATCCATCTTCTGTAACAATCTTGTGTTCCTCGAACCTGTACCCATTGCTCTGGTAGAACTCTGGAGCTGATTTGTAGGCATCCTCAGTGAGTTCAGGAGTAGTGTAGTAAATGTCTTCAGCAAGGCCGGTGAGCACTCTCCAGGATCCAACAGCAAGATCTCTGATCATTTCAGCATTGGAGTATTTAGCTGAAACATTTGATACCAAAGCAGCTAAAACTAAGATTAAAAGAATAAACTTCCTCATATGGATAATATAATTCTTGCTCTCTCAATTAGATATAATAAACTTGGGGTTTTGGGGTTTTGGGGTTTTGGGGTTTTGGGG